TGTTTTGGTGGAGTTTACATAAAAAGAATGAACAATATTATTGAAGTTTGGTTCTTATTAAACTTGTGCACCATGGCTTCTTTATCTGTAGCCTTTAATGAAGACAGCAAAATATTAATCTGGTACAATACTTGTTTATCTGTTTTTATTGTTAGTTTTATTTTGATTGTTGTTTATCATTTTCACCTGCAGTTATCACATAGGAAATATTATGGTGCTGTAATTAAGAAGTTATTCAAGAAACAAGATGAAGATGTTGATCCTCTTTTAGATGCAACTGAATCACATCTAACTGTTGATCAACAAAGAAGAGCCATGGTACCAAGTTCTACTGATTATGTCAGACGAGAATCAGTTGTTGATTTATTTTAATCTTTAGTAATTTTTTGCTGTCCATGTTTAATTACTCATTCTATTATTATTTCTATTAGCCATTTTTAGTCTTAGAAACCATGATGTATTCCTCAGTGTTATACATAAAATTTTCAGAGTGATAAAAGAATTTTTTTCTTTCTAATAATAATTAATGACATTTCACTCACTACAACAAAATAAAATTATAATCATGCAAGATTTAGATTTAGGCTATAGATCTCTACTTGTATATAAATTCCATAACTAGTAAATCAGAAACATACCTATATGAAACATGCCTACTGAAGTTCAAGTAGTTGTTTCACTCCCACTCATTGACGTTCTTTTATATCATATTCTTGGAGTTCATTCCACTAATTGGTTAGACTATCAAGCAATAATAATCCCAGTCTCTATTCTAGATCAATTACTCATATTCTTTTAGTTGCTCCTGGTCATGGCCTAATACCAACATTCAGTTTTGAATAAAGCAGCAATGTTGTCTGTGACCTGATGAAAGTGACCTGTGTAGTATCCCCCACTTATTATTAATAACTCACATGCATAACACACACACACACATACATGTACATACACACACACCCATTACAATTATGATTGTTATCAATAAATTAATTGTATATAATGATTGGACTGGGCTTTACAAGCCCACTCCATTGTTTTGGACTTTGATGATACTTGATTGATTAAGAGAATCTCTCGGCAATACTACAACCTGCAATACAATACTATTGTGAATGAGTTTGTAATGGTTGTTGTCCATATTAGGTAATGTTGCTTCATCTGTTCGTGGAGCATTAGCAGTCCATTTCTTTGGTAAGAAACTCAACCAGAAACTGACAATAGAAAAGTTTCAAGAATTCCATACTAACTTGTACATGTACATATACTGGGAATTAATGATTATGTACGTGTTCATGTTCATGACCTACATGACCTACATGATCATACATGTATAGTTGCATACCATGTATCCATGCCATGTATACATGGCATGATATGATATTTACATGGATATAATCCTTACTATGTACCGTATTTGCTTGATTAGATGCAGCTTAAATAAATGCCCATCCTTAAAATATTCTCAC